TTTTTTTTGTTTGAAAGGTGAATTAGTCGGTAGTGTCCTTAGCTAAGTTTGATGAAAATCGGTCCAAGATGGTCCGGTGTTTTTTTAAATTTTTGATTTATCATTTGTTTTAAATCTCTGGATAATAAAATAAGATAATATTTTCAAGTAAAACAAACAGCATCGAAGTCAATCTATCTTCCTATTTAGGAACAATAACTGACAGCATCTGTCAGAGACACACCTAGATGTTAAATCTACTACATCCCACGTTGTTTTTGTTGAGCGTTTCATATAAACTAAGGTATTCACTGAGAGCCCAATACTATTAAAAAGAAGGAACACTTTGTTCAAAATCATTTAAAATATTTAATCGTCTTTTAAAATAATTACTTATTTAAAATTTATAAAGTTATTACCTCCTCTTTTCGCAATCGACCAAAAAGACGAGATAAACATGTTATCGGTTTGATACTAATAATAAAGCATTATGCTGTAAAAATCAAAATAAATAACCCAGATTTAAGTTTAAAATATTTGGTAATCAAAATTTAAAAAGCAATATATATATACAAATGCAATAGAAAATGTTCGCATTGTTACTTGTTATCTTCATACAACTTTAATTATTTTACTTTCTTGGCTATAAAATTACGAGAAATCCTGTTGTTTAATGATGTATAAAATTAACAGCCTAAACGACAGTACATTTACCCGATGTCAACGTACCTACTAAACGAGTGCATTTAGATACTTTAGGAGTAGGTGGTGGATCCCAATGCGTAGGCAAACTGGAATAGAAAACACACCAGGTTCATTGAGAGATTCACTATGAAAAATTGCAAGTAATGAAATTTATATAATAGCAAACAACACAAGTAGGAACTGGTTCATATTATAACACCTCTGTGTAACTTAAAAAAAGATATCCATTGTAAAATATAAATTTCAATAAACTTAAAATTATGTTTCTCTTTAATGCAAAGCATATACATTTTACTATCTCTGTTACATTATTCATCAAAACGTGTGAAGAGTTGAACGGAGATAGCGAATAACAATACTCAAGAGAGAAATCAGACATTTTATAATCGCTATTATTATAATTAGATTCTAACAATTGACATTAATGAAAAGCTATATTATAACGCATTTTATAAAGTTAGAGACGCACTTAATCACCCAAAGACCGTGATCTTTATAATTGGGGTTAAATTAATTATGGAACATAATCACTACGATCTTGCATCATAGAAGGTAAATTAATTACTACCTCATCAAATTATAACAAATGAAAGCCGTAAAACCTGAACATCGTCACTCTGTTACACGATATGTTTAAAAGATCAAAGGAAATCAATGAAGCCAATCGACGTTAAAATATTACAGACAGACTGACGCCACGATATTTTTGTGCATGTATATTTAAATTGTCCATCGCTACACTAAGCTCAAAATGTCTACCGAATTCCTTGGGTGTGTCTAAAAGATTTTTGTAAGTTTAAAAATAAATCTCATAACTTTTATCACCTACTTGACGTCTCCAATAATGTGAAAGCGTTGAGAAACATTTTGCGCCAACAAACACGATCACTGGCTACCTATTGTTCATTATTCCTTATAAGCAGATAAGATTCTATTAAATGACGTCGTGAGACACATTTAGTTGTTGATAAAGCGACAAAATGAGACGCCAAATGCGTTTGTGACTTATTACTTACAAGAACAAGTCAACGACCCAGTCACCAAGGATAGAAAATGGATACGCAATGAATGATTTATTGTAGACTTGAATGACGTAAGTTATATACCTATATAATACTATTTTAGAGTACATAATAATTCCTTATATAAAATATTATTTGGTAATCATCATTTATTAGGTACATAGTGTTCGGATATATTTTAAAATCATATTTCGCTACAGCAAATGGTCGTATGGCGTACCTAGCTTACACCATAATTGTTTACCTTACACACTCATGTTGGTTCTATTGTAACAGTATAGACTATTTACATTTTACAGTAACAAATGGTACCTAATGAGTTTAAATTTTTTACAATTTTACATACAATTCATTGAAAATAAGTATTTTTTTACTTTATAGAAATAGTTAAATTTATCAAATGCTTTATATTTATAACATTATCTAGACAAAACCTAGGCGCCAATAAGTCGGTTTTACTGGCTACTCACATTTCGCGTCATCTTACAGATAGTGGCACAACAGATAATAATAGCAAACAATTCACCACTTCAGTAATTAGTTTAAAGATATATATATACAGATTTTTTAACAATATTATATAGTATAATTTACCTCGGCTTTCCTGCGCAAAGATAAATTTCTCCATAATTCTCGAGGACTCGTCCATCCAACTTTTGTTTTGTCAATCCCACAATCACCTACACTACTAGCGCACCTATTTAATTTACTTTGCTGTGCAACACCATTAGTTACAGTTCTGTTTGCCATGTTAGACACATTTAGAAACAAAAAAAAAAACAAAGAAAAATGGCTATTCCATAACGGCAACAGTTCAATTATAATCTGGTTAAAATATACTTATTAACGATATACGATTTCGAAATAACCGACGCTTCACCTTTAGTTTTAACACTTTGTTTATATTTTATAAAAAAGTTATTAATATATAGAAGCTATAAGATTTATTGTTATCTATGACGAACGATATTATATCATGATATGACACAATCACGAATTTAAAGAGATAATTTAATAGATATTTTTAAAGAAATAGACCGTTTTAATGTGAAGCACACTCACGTCTGTATCACTTTGAGGTTAACTTACCGGCACTACCGGCTGTCGGCCAGCAGGGCACACAAGCGCCCCGTTGAGGTCCCGGCACACGGGGCGTAAAAACTACCAGATGTTAACGCATATATACGTTTATGCCTCATTTCAACCTATCTCGCTTTTACAAATATTTAATATGGCTTGGTTTAATAAATATAAGTATCAAATAAACAGACCTACTATTTAGTTACGCACAAATATATTATGTAGTTTAAAACAAAATGCACAATAAGTACCAGTAAAAAACTTATTATGGGAACATCTTACATTGTAAATAATAATATATAATATAGTGTATTGTGTTTACATTAATTTAATTTTCAAAAGTCACATTGTGTGTGCATAACCCAACATGGGTTAACTCAGGTACGAGTTAATTATAGATATATACATACACGTATAGATGTAAAAGGATCCCGGGCCCGTCACACTCATACTCACCAGACACACAAAAGCAGGGACACAGATTAATGAAAAGAAGATAAGTGACACATCTTGTTGGGAAATATGGATCTTAACTGAAGGCGTAAAAGTATAAAATCAATCGTCATTGATATTTATCTTTGTGTTTTATGGACTACAATGCAAGTGGAGAACGTGCCCTAACCGCTTTTGCTGGTTCGTGAAAAAGTTTAAACTTTTAATAAATCGGTTTTGCAAAGTTTAATATAAGATACTATCCAAACTAACTTAGTATACTTCATAAAGTTCTTGAACAGATGTAATATGTAACAAGCGCTGAGAATAGCTCTTTTATTATGTTATCTCCCTCTTTCTGGAAGTGACCAATAACATTGAACAGATAAAGGGATTCCTAGAAAATGAAAATTAATAAGCCACCTCTATATCACGGCCATTGTACACAAATGGTTTATTCATTTGTATACAAGTTATTGGCAGCTTTCTTAGAGAGGTCAGCAGAATATACATGCATATAAACTAGCTACTTTATTCATTCGCAATACATATTTCTAAAGCGTGCAATAAACACGTACCTATGTTAATAAGTTGTCGTCATATATTGAGCGTTGTATATATCAGTTAAGCAAATTAAAACTGCTGTTTATTAGACTTCCCCAAAATTTCAGGTCAGGGTACGACCATGAAACAGTTAATGATTGTTTAGTGAATTCGACACATGCGAGCAGAATGCCCGCCGTTTCATAGTTATTTTTAACCCTAAGACAGGGGGTCAGTCACCCGCTTAGTCCTCCAGCGGCACGGACCAGTACTATCACATAAGGAACATGCGTGGGAATATACCCGATATATCCTTAAGGAAACGTAAATGATTCTTATAGAGTCACCAACATCTAATATCTTATATACAATATAAACATTCTTGTTATAGCTGTGTACCTGTTCAAAATTATAAATAAAAATTTATTAAGTATCCTACAATGCTAGTAAAAACTAAAAACTTTGTAGATTTAATCATGTAGGTATATCTAATAAGTAATCGCATCAAATACAACGGAATTGTTGAACAGCCCTGTAACTTCATTTGATTATGTATGATTTTGCACATTAATAAACTTTTTCTGTTATAAACTCTTAATTTTTTTTTTAAATCCAGTAATAGATACTAGATTTTTTTTCTTTTAAGATATAACTTTCTTGCATTATCACGAAGATTAAATACTCGTATATTATACTCTTTCGAATGCTGCCTTTGATTAACTAAGGTTTCTTATAAGAAAAATATTCAAGATATATCCTAATAAAAAAATGTATCTACTAAAAGTGTAAGCAATTCATTCTATATTATTAAACTTCTTTTTAAATAGAAATTGTGAAGAAAGTTACTAAAACCTACATAATAAGTAAATTATTTGAAATTATAAATTTACGCTCTAATAGTTATATATAAATAAATATTTATAATAAGACATGGTTTGGAACACATAGTAAACAACACACTTTGTTTACATAATTAGGTAAGTAACCTGTTACGTCTACTGATAATAATAGAAAAATGGTCTTTATTATTAACTCAGTTAAGTTTAACTTTAAAATTATACTAAAAAAACAGCGCAGAGTAAATATTTAGCTATTGGGATAACTATTAAAACGATAGAACCCATCGAATGCACAGGGGTAAGGCTGAACTAAAATAACGAACCTCCCGTTTTTGGGGTGCGTTCATTTCGATTAGGGGAACTGTTAGAGGGTGAACGAGAAGCGCAGTATGGGGCTTACCGTTGCTGTATCGGTAAGGGTGGCGGTAGCAGAGGTGGGTCCACTGTTCGTCCCAGGAGTGTTATTAATTAACCCGGCAGACACCTGATTATTTGAACTTTGTTCAATTATACGCTGTCGGAGTGCTAATCTTTCAAGACTGGCCAGTCTGTGTGATCCACCTGGTCCTTCCCTGTCGCGATCTCGGAGTCCTGTTCCACTTAGGGTACTGCCCGCACTAAAGGATCCGCTATATTTTGGTAGTGTCGGTGGCGGCACCGGCCTGGCCGATCCACCTCGACCGAGCAACGAGCCGCTGGATGTATATGCATAGCTGTTTGGTGTTCCGAGGGTTGCTGTGCGTGGAGCCGCCCCGATTCCATTTAGAGCTCCATTAGTGCCGTTGACAGCGCCACCATTCACTGTCGTCGTGCTGCCGTTCATCTCCTTGAATTAGCGTCCGTCATGCGAGTATATCAAATCACACACTGTCACTAACCGTGAACAACAAAACGAATCGCGATATGGTCAGATATGTAGAAACGTTCGTGTCGTGTGCCTGTCGGAGGCGGTTTGACAGCTAGCGCGATGCAGACGAGGCGCGCGGGCGGAGTCTCACGGCGCCCCGCACTCGGCGCTGTCGCCATTCGCCACTGACGCCGACCCCAATGAGTCCCTGGATTATTACCACACGAATGCCCTACTGCAGGGTTGAAAATGCATTGCTGCATCTCTGTCAAGGTCAACTGTTGAATTCTTCGCGAATTCAACGTATTCCTCCGACTACATACAGCTCGAGTTGGGGACTTCGCGGAACATTTCATTAATTATATCCTTTGTTATACAATGTAGATTAATAAATTAAAAGATTATTAAGGATATTCCAGTGATTTTTTTTAACGAATTGAACATACTTTAAAGGAGGTCCGATTGTGATATTCCTAACAGAATAATTTCATGAATGATTTCTAATTGGAGAAAGAAGGAAATGGCGTTGTTTTAGTTCATTGGCCTGGTTGAATTAGACTCGACTTGAAACGTCTACCATATTATTGGTAGGTACTAGGTACTGAAAGTAATAATTTAGACCACTTGACTAGAAGAGAGGTATACTAATAATACATGTTTTTCAACAATTTTACCATTCATAGTTTAAGATCGTATGAAAAATTGATCCAGTGGTGAAAGCAGCAGAGTTACAAAAACAATTACAATTTTACTTATTGGTATAATTCACTGTAATCTAAAAATATCATGGCAATTTCTATTTCCTGCGAAATTCTTACTCTTTTAGTTGTTGGTATGTTTTCGTCAAGTATGGTTTCGTGCCATGGGACTGTGAGTGTTTTAAGACATAAGCTCTCGATCATCTCAAGATGCACCAGTTGAGAATATATGTACGTATGTACGTAGTGGTATTCCAAAAGTCATTTAAGAATAACGCGCGAGGACTAATTACAGCTTTACGCAAAGCAAGGACAGATAATCTATACATACATAAAATAAAATTCTAACTATTATAATTAATAATATAATAAATTAAATATTTTTTGGAAAATCTTATTGAAATAGACATTATTATCGATAGAGGCCGAATCTAGTTTTTAGAATTTGTGTCTGTCTGTCTGTCTGTGTGTCTGTTACCGCATCACAGAAAAACCACTAGAGGGATTTTGATGAGGTATGGTGATAGCTGGTTATCCGGGTCAACATATAAGATACTTTTTACCGCGAAAAAATGTCTCATTTCTGAAAAAAAAAACTGCAATGTAAGAGTATACTAATATATAAAACCTAAGAATTCGGTTTTCGGCCATCTGAACGCGGGCAATGCTAGTACAAAATAAATATAATTAATGAACTGACTAAATTAGTAGCAATCAACGTACTAATTATAATAATATAAACAATCATTAGTAACAATCTTGAAGCCAACTGTTTGTTGTAAATAATATAACTCAGATTAACCGCACTTAGATGAAAGCGACCGTTCTATATATTATTTAATATCTTACTTTCTAAGAATTGAAATAAAATCTGAAGTCTAGACTTCTGCATAAAATGCACAGAACACGTGGTTGTCGCGTGTTGTGGTCACGGTCATACCGATCGACAACAACGCGCAAGCGCGTCGCTAACCCCCTGAGCCTATATTTTATCTCCACAACCCTCACGGCTTTCCTGACTAGGGATATTTTTTATTTATTACAGATGGATTTTGTATTGCTCTTTATTTATTTTGTACTACACTAAATTTGTGTGGCTATTTAGGCTAATTGTAGTTATATATAATTCATAATAATATTACCTTTCAGCCGGGACTCACATGGCAGGTACGTTGATGAAAGTATCACACCTGTTAATCTATACATACGAGTAGGTATGTATAATAAAATTGTAACAAAGCCGAATCTGTACATTAAATATTTTTTTAGAAAATCTTATTGAAATAGACATTATTATCGATACAGAGGCCGAATATATAGTTTTTAGAATTTTTGTCTGTCTGTCTGTTACCGCATTACAGAAAACCCACTGGAGGGATTTTGATGAAATTTGGTATGATGATAGCTGGTTATCCGGGTCAACATACAGGATACTTTTTACCGCGGGAAAATATCTCAATTTTGAGAAAAAATACAAAAACTGCAATGTAAGAGTATACTAATATGTGAAACCTAAGAATTTGGTCTTTTGTCATCTGAACGCGGGCGCGGGTGCGGGTAATGCTAGTTATATATAATTTATTATTATCACCTCCAGGTAAATTTCTAAGAAATTAATTAAAATTCTAAGAAATCTATTGTTAACTGACACGCCGGCGTGTCCGCGGTCGTGGAGGGATTAATATTACTTTTCAGCCGGGACTCACATGGCAGGTACGTTGATGAAAGTATCACAACCGTTAATAGAGCAATAAGTTTCTCTATACTGAATTGCATTTAAATCCGTAAATAGTTGTCTTGTTTTTAAAATGTCTCCAAAATTATTAGTTAAAAAATATTCCATACATAAATACCCATTTGATAAGCATAGCTTATCTTATAGTTTTTTACTTTAATATTAATTAGCATTTTTAAAGAATAATAAAAAAATAGATATGGCATTTTATATAACTAGATTTTTATAAATAGTTTTCTGAATATCCTGAAAGATATTAAAGATAAGATATATCTATGATTTTTATGATGATAAAGAATAAATGTTCAAAGTTGAATGAAATTGTTACTATCGTTAGCGCCATCTAGTTTCAAATAGTACGTCAAAATAGCATACAGTTCACTGTGAACCAAGCGATGCATGTGCACGATAGCCTTTCATAGCAGCGTCAAGCAGAATACGATAGATGGTGTTACGTTACCAACCACATTCAATTCAAACGTCACAACAATTTTCTATTATTTTATTTTGTACTAGCGACTTAGACCCGCTTCGCTCGGGTGCGTTCTTATGCTATTGTGGACTTTTCTGTAAGCCTTTTCAATCTCTCTATTATCTCTTTCTATAGTTTCATCAAGGTTAGTAGAGGAGTGCATAGATCGATTAAACTCACTACGAAAGAGGAATAGAGTAATTCTAAGATGGGTAACGGGTCATGTCGGTATCACCAGCAATGAACGTGCCGATGCCTTTGGTATTGAGCAGGAATCTGTGCACTTCTGTGGTATACCCAAAAGCCTATTCCAGACAACACTCATGACAGCATGCCTCAAAATTGCAAGTAAACTGAACTGAGTCAACAGGAATGTGTAATGTTTACATATTTTTAATCAATTGTTCTTTAATATTATATCAAAGATTTCATTGATCATTTAGACTTATTGTTCTTTAATGTTATATAAACAACATTTAGAATTATCAAATTTAATGAGTGTAGAGTCCAGAGACTGTTTGTTTATTTTTCCGAAATGTGTTTACATTTGTATTGGTTTATAATGTCCTCCACCCATAATGTTAGTTAGTTCTTTGAGTTCCTTGAGTTCCTTCGGACCTCCGAGTCAGCTACAGTATAGCAAGTAAGAAAGTTATAATTTAAAGTTATAGTTAACTGTCGTGTGATAAATAAATATCTATCAACGTCACGCTGCTGTTTGTATCTCAAGACCCCTCCTGACCACCGAACATTACAAATGATTCACTTCAAGACACTCATCTAAGCCTACGACATAAGGTTTAATAAACCTAGTCTTAGCATTAAATACCCTACGCCTACTAGTAAAGGCTCTTACAGGAAACTGCTGCTTAATTAAACAAGCACATGTTCCACCTAAGGCTAAATGGCACACAAACCTGCAGAAAATGTATGGAGGCAAATGAAACGCCACTCAATCTACTGGGGGAGTGTGGACCTCTTATGTAAAAGCGTAGTTTTTATCTTGGAAAACAGATTCTAGGCCCAGATGAAATTGAGGAGTATAAGGGGTCCTTAATAAATCCTCACAGCGTTCATCACAGCGGCAGGATTTAGTGGGTCACTTTAGTCCACAATGCGGCGATCACAATACACCAAGAATGGTCGCAATGATATCCTATAGCCGCAACAATGAAATAAAAAAAGCCTAGTAATACCTACAATTTTCTAGAACATTGTTTTGATGTGTCCCCTTTTTAAAGTGTTGCTAGCGTTAGCAATGTAAATTTTTAAGGCCGACGATAGAAACAGTTATTCTGTTTTCCTGTGGGAATGAAAGATTTTTCTGTAGTAAAAGGTACCCTAATTTTAACAAGCAATAATTTATCATTACATATAGTTAAGATCGACTCAGTACTTTTTGCGTAAAATGCACACAAATATAGGGACAAACAGAGAAAAACTCCAAATTACTATTTACAATAGTTACGCTAATAGACTTTAAATACGTTTGTAGCTATGTAAGATACTAATTTTATTATTATAATAAATACATAATATGATATAAAGTAAATTATCAAACCTACATATATGAATATCATTAGGTATGAAATTGGAAGCCGACAATCAATGTCTATCTCCTAAACTATCAACTTACATGAAATGAAAGCAAAATCAGTAGCAGCTAGATATCTACATAATCGTCTGTCGAGAAACTGTTATTAAGCGATATTGTGTACTGAATATAGTAACTACCGGCCGTTTCGCCCGTGTTTTACCGACTACCCGACTTTTATAGCACATACGTCTTTAGAGGTGTATTTACCGTGGTTGCCGTGAGTAGCAAAAAATATATATGGTTGTAGGTTATAAGTACGAATAACTCAGTACAGATATAGAGACGCCGTTCATCACATGAGAACGGCTGTACCAATGACGCAAATTTTTTTAAACGTTCACAATACTCAGGCTTTTTTTTAGGACAACAAAAGTTTAGAAAGCTGCTTGGAATACTAAAAGTATTTTTCTATATGATTTTTCATGAGATCATAATATCTCAAAGATTACAAACAATATTTTTTAAAGGTCGGGTTTTATAGTTCTCCTGATAAATTTCAATCAAGTATCTAAGTAGTAGGTATAGGTACCTAAATAAAGTTTTCAACATTATCCAAGTGTTATTGTTTAGTGCAGCGTCATACAAGTGTATAACGACAGCTGTCTTAACTTTACCTCCTAACAATACCTTTGATTACAACCATGAGAAAACTGTGTCCCTAATAAAGTGTTCTATTAATTACTTGCTTGTAAGAATTAACCAAGTTTTCTAGCCGCTAAAACCACCTTTACTATAAGTTATTATCGGGATAATCGTGTTATATTAATATTGGTTCAAATTTTTTTTTCGTTTTCTATAAAAAGAAATCTCAAACTTTATTTAAAAATAGTATGCAGGTATAATCTGCTAAGTAC